AAATGTATAATTCTTTCATGAAAGAGTATCTTGACTTAGGTCACATGGAAAAAACCAACAATAAAGTTCCTAATAACCCACATTATTTCATTCCTCATCAATGTGTTTTCCGACCTCAAAGTACAACTACGAAACTTCGCGTCGTTTTTGATGCATCGAGTAAAACATCTTCACATGTTTCACTCAATGATCTCTTGATGGTAGGTCCAACCATTCAAGAAGAGTTGTACTCAACGTTACTTCGATTCCGCTTACATAAATACGTAATTACAGCAGATATTGAGAAAATGTATCGTCAAGTTTTAATCGACGAAAAAGATAGAGATTTTCATTTGATCCTTTGGAGACAAAACGAAAGTGATCCGTTGCAATTTTTAGATTGAATACGGTCACTTATGGTACTTCGTCCGCTCCATTTCTAGCAATTCGTTGCTTGAACCATTTGAGCGATTTGTCCAAAGAGACTTGGCCTATTGGTGCCAAAGTTATAAGCAACGACTTCTATGTGGATGATTTATTGACTGGTTCTGCTGATTTGAATAGTCTTCTCACAATTCGAGATGAAGTCACAACTATTCTCAGTTCAGCAGGATTAAATCTCACAAAATGGTTTTCTAATCATCCAGATTTTAATGAGACAACTTGTAGTGAAAAGTTGTTACACTCGGATTCCGAGACTGCAAGGGCATTGGGTATTCATTGGGCCCCGAGAAATGATGTTTTTAAATTTTACATAGAGGGAGGCTTCCAAGATCTGAAAGCTACTAAAAGACACATTTTGTCAATATCTTCACGTTTGTTTGATCCCCTCGGCCTTTTGTGTCCAATAATAACCAAAGCGAAAATGTTATTGCAAGAACTTTGGATTAATAAATTAGACTGGGATGAATCGATTCCCATGCGTTTGAGTTCAGTCTGGGAAGATTTCAAATTCAATCTTTCGAAGTTGGAAACGATTCAAATCTCAAGATTCGTAAACACGAATGTTTCATCTAGAATCCAAATTCATGGTTTCTCAGATGCATCGATGCGTGCCTATGGATGTTGTTCCTATATTCGTTCGCAGGACTCTAATGGAGTATCTTGCAGGCTGCTAACAGCTAAATCTAAAGTAGCTCCCCTCAAAATTATGTCTCTTCCGAGGTTAGAGCTCTCAGCAGCACATCTTATGGCAAATATGTGGTTACGAATTAAACCAATGATGAACTTTGATGTTGAAAAAATATACTTTTGGCCTGATTCTGAAATTATACTTTACTGGTTAAAAACCCATCCTTCTTCTCTGGCCACATTTGTCTCTAATCGAGTCGCAGAAATTCAAGAATGGTCAGAAAAATGTATTTGGCGCCATGTGCCAACTAAACAGAATCCAGCCGACATTGTGTCGAGAGGATGCAGTGTAGATGAAATTAAATCATCAACATGGTTTGAAGGACCTAAATTTTTGTTAGACGATATGTCTAAATGGGCAGTCAACAAGCATTTCGAGTTGACTGAGGAGCAAAAATCATTGGAAATAAGAAAATCCAAAGTATTGCTGACCTCAAATAGTAAGACAGATAAGGAATGTTCTGAGAACATTCTTTTGAAATTAATAAATGACCATTCATCATATAAAAAACTTCTCAGAGTGGTTTCATATGTTTTCCGATTTGTCGATCGAGTTAAGAAACGAAAGATATCCAAATCTATCTGTCTTACAGCTCAAGAATTGAATTGGTCTTTTCTTAAATTAGTAGAGGCAGTTCAAAAAGAGAGTTTCTCAGAAGAGATTTTTTAAAATAAAAAAGTCAATATGCTTAAAATCAAATATCCAGAAATTGACACCATTTATCCACGATTTCACTGAGTGTAAGCGGACATTTTCTTTACTTCGAGTAGGTGGAAGACTGTTAAATGCACAATTGCCCCATGACACAAAGTTTCCACTTTTACTTCCTAAAAAGCATCATTTTGTGTCAATATATTTAAATAATTTACATTTTAATAATTGCCATGCTGGTACGAAAGCCTTAGTTGCATTGTCTCGAGAGCAAATTTGGCTTATCAATGCCAGAGAAGAATGTAATCGAATAGTTCGGAATTGTATCCATTGTTTTCGCTACAAGCCAAAGCTGATGACCCAAATAATGGGCAATATTCCCACTGATAGAGTGAGAGCTTTACGTCCATTTTTAATAATAGGCGTAGACTTCTGTGGTCCCGTAAATATTACTTTAAAAATACGCGGAAGACCACCTACCAAAATGTATATAGCCGTCTTCGTTTGCTTCACGTCCAAAGCGGTTCACTTAGAATTAGTGTCTGATTTATCTTCTGATGCTTTTATTCTTTCTTTTAAAAGGTTTGCCGCGAGGCGTGGGCTCCCCAAGAGGATTTACTGCGACAACGCGACGAATTTCGTGGGAGCCAGCAGAGAGCTGAGGGAGCTTCAGGAGAAGTTCCTAGCAGGCCGAGGAACCGTGGAGGAATACGCTGCCTCTTTGAACGTGCAGTTCAGCTTCATTCCTCCGAGGGCGCCTCATTTCGGAGGGCTGTGGGAAGCTGCCGTAAAACAGGCGAAGTTCCTGCTTCTACGAGCTGTCGGAAAGTGCTGCTGACGCAAGAAGAGATGGTCACAGTGCTCGTAGAAGTAGAGGCTGTGCTAAACAGTCGCCCCATAGCACCGCTGTCTCCAGACCCCAACGACGGAGAAGCTCTGACTCCCGGGCACCTACTAATCGGAGCGGGTCTGCGTTCGCTGCCGCCAGAATCCGTCGGAGAGGTACTGCAAGCGCTGGCAGATGCTCTCCGCTCTCAAGCAGAGGTTCTGGCGGGCTTGGTCGAGGGATTACGTCCTAGGACTTCAGGACAAGGCCAAGTGGCACAATCAGCAGCCCAACATAGAGGTCGGTCAACTAGTCCTCGTGCACGAGGACAATCTGCCACCTCAAGAGTGGGTAACCGGCCGAATCGTCAACGTCACCGAGGGCCAAGACGGAAAGGTCAGGGTGGCGGAAGTCAAAACAAGGACGGGCACATTTAAGAGGCCAATAAGGAAACTCGCTCCAATCCCGATTTATTGAAGTCCTGCAGCCGTTCAATGGGGGCACAATGTTGGAGCAGTTTTATTGTTTATATTGAATTTCTTTATTATAATCGTTATTTTAAAATATATTTTTTTTTGATTTTTATTTTATTTATTTTTGAATTTTAATTAATGAATTAATTTTAATGTAAACATAATATGAAGTTCTTAGTTGTAAAAATTAGTATTAAAATAGTATGTAAAATTACAATTAAGTTAGATGTAGAAGAATAAGATAATGAAGTAGAATAAAAATGAATTATTGTTGTGAATTATACCGCCAACACAACGCGTCTTATTTCTTCTCGCCGTCCAAAAAAAATCCCTAAAATTAATAAAAATAACAAAAGTTAAAAATTATAAATAAATTAATTTTATAATTAAAAAATAAATTAACTTACCTTAAAATAAAGGTGAACATATACCGTAATACATCATCATCATCAATTAAAAATTCAGTAGCAGCAGAACAAGTATCAGACATCATACATTCTGAATATCGTTTTTAAAATTCCTCCCGCTTATTGTGTAATCGTTCTCTGTGTGAAAATCAACTACTGTCATTATCATTACCAACAGCAGCGGCGGCGAATCACCGTGGATGATTTAGTAGTCCAAGTTCGGCTTGATAATGGTGCCTATAATAAGGCTATGGTAAAAAGTGTACATCACAACATGGTTGATGGAGTTCCAGAGATCAAAAAAAATACCAGTACCAGAAGAGTTGTGGGCGGTAGCACAAACAGAAGGAATTTCAACGCACTATATGTGCTGGCGTTTGCGTTAAAAATCCCGACCTGAATGCATTACATGTAATTTCGACTTGAAATCAACTAAACTACTTAATAGTGGCCACGTTGATGTCTTTCAGGTGCGTGAAGATTTATTGGGTCTAGCCATTGGTTAACATGGTTTGAATATTCAAGGAGCCCGCCTTCTGGAAGGTGTTACCAATATACAACGTGAACCGGGTCATGTGTCACTTGTATTCATTGGTACCGTTGAAAGTATTATTAATGCCAAAGTATTGCTGGACTATCATTTGGGCTATTTAAAGGTGGGTCGAATGCATACATCTGGATATAATAAAATTCTGAAGTTAATATAATAAAATTCTTGTATTACTCTTTGTTTTCTGGGACGTCGGAGAAATACGCCTAGCCAAATTAGAAATTAATCAACTACTAGCCATCCACGAATCTTCTGGGGGTTCTGTCAAAATTTCCCTTCAACTCGTCGCTCGGAAAGTGGTTATAGTAGTGATATTACAGTCGGGGAGATCCGCGTGGACGTGGGTGAAGCCACAGGCGTAAAACACATTATATCATACAAATGCAAAATATAATTTTTATGAAACTTTAAAATAAAAACAACAGAAACATCTTTATAATAATGGTACATATTATCAAATAATAAAGAAAACAACAACAAAGCATTATTATATATTAATTTAATTTGGTTATTATATATTAATTTGATTTGGTTAAACTCACAACTATTTTTGTATTGAACTGCGGCCAAACGCTGACAATAATGTATGAATCAGCTGTTATTTTCCTTTGTTTGCTCTTACAAAAATATTGTAAGAGCAAATAAATGTTTGCCCAAAAATAAGGCAAATATTTGCTAGTCGGCGTTCACATTGTGGGCAAATCACACAAAATTTTGTTTGCTTTCAAATAATTTTTTTTTGCCCAAAATCAGCTGTTTTTGTTTTTGTAATTGAAAATATTTTGTGGTCAGAATATGGCAGAGAAATATTTGACACTTTTCGTCAAATATTTGCCTAGTTTTCAAAGTCAAATATTTGACTTACCTTAATATCATCTTCAGTATTATTGTAGCCATGCAAAGTTCATTGGCTGATATTGATCCATATATGTTCCAACCATATATCGAGTTTTGAGCTACCATATTGTACCGATTTCAATTGCTAGATGCCAAGCAAAGTCGATGCCATATTTACAACTTTGTTGTCCCTCCATGCTATAGTAGTTATATCTATACCATGAATACTGGTCATATATTCTTCGCAGTCTCCTCGATTGGGTAATTTTTCTGGCAATTTGCTGCCAGGAATTCGGTTACGTCGAACTGTTCCAAGCCCATAGATTCCCTGGGTGCGTAAATAAGCCAATAAAGGAATAGTTGTGTAATAGTTACCGAAGAAAATTCTGTAGTTCTTGAAACGCGGAACTCTACGAGCAAGCCGCACCACAACATTTGCTGCTGCTCCCAAATCTGGTTCATTTTCCAAAACATGGTCTTCATTGCCAGAATAAATTTCAAAATTATAGCAGAATCCCATATCGTCACACATCAAAAATAACTTATTGCCCCACGGGTGAGGCTTGTCTGGCATGTATTGTTTCAAATAGTGCTTAATTTTTGTGGCACAAATTTGTTCATCCACACACAAACGACTTCTTTTTGGAACAGAGTCAAAGTTTCTATTTAAAGCATCAATAAGCGGACGAATTTTATATAAACGATCAATGTTTGAGGAATCAGTGTTTTGTGGACGCAATCCTCGTCGACGTGAAGGAGCTGGTTCTTGAGCTGACGGACGTGGCATCTTACTGTTGTCATTTAGATGCAAAAACTGGCGTACCTTGTCATATCGATTTCTCGTCATGGTATTCATAATAGCCGGTATGCCAAATTCACCCCAATATGTCCTGATACTTGGGTACTTGAAGACGGACATAAAATATGTAATGCCAAAAAAGCGTTTTATTTCGTCTGGCGTTGTATTTAGAGGTTTCAATGAATCCTTTTGAATTGCGTACAAATTGCTTTGGCCTACAATATTAGAAATTATATCGTCATTTACAAAGTAAGAAAAAAATTTGAAAGGTGTATCTAGTGCCATTATTTCTCTTGTCAATTCAGAATCGCTGCCAAACTGAACCCAACTAGCATGATTCTGCATATGGTTTTTCTTCCAGATACATTTTTTAAACTCGGAAGAGTCCTTGTCAATTGTGATATCTTTGTAAAATGTTGCAATTTGATGCCAGCGTGTGCTATCTCCAGTAACAACTATATCTTCATTTTGAACACTCTCAACAGCAGTTGGTTCCACACTCACAACTTGTTCAGCATCTAATTCGTTCCCATTTTCGAACACATCATCTTCCAACTGATCAGTGATATTCGCATCATTATTTGTCACCCGTTTGATCATGGATAATTATTACACCGCATCCACTTCTACGAGCACTGTGACCATCTCTTCTTTTGCCAGCTGCACTTTGCCAACAGCTCGTGGAAGTTCCTATTTAACGCAGCTTCCAACAGCGCTCCGAAATGAGGCGCCCTCGGAGGAATGAACAGAATTCCTCATAGAATGGAGGATGCTCAGAACTCGAAATTGACAGTTTATATCCTATAACATGTTGAATTTATAAAGAAATTTCTTAAGACCAATAGGCGTGGATTTTATAAAGAAATTTCTTAAGACCAATAGGCGTGGATTTTATAAAGAAATTTCTTAAGACCAATAGGCGTGGATTTTATAAAGAAATTTCTTAAGACCAATAGGCGTGGATTTTATAAAGAAATTTCTTAAGACCAATAGGCGTGGATTTTATAAAGAAATTTCTTAAGACCAATAGGCGTGGATTTTATAAAGAAATTTCTTAAGACCAATAGGCGTGGATTTTATAAAGAAATTTCTTAAGACCAATAGGCGTGGATTTTATAAAGAAATTTCTTAAGACCAATAGGCGTGGATTTTATAAAGAAATTTCTTAAGACCAATAGGCGTGGATTTTATAAAGAAATTTCTTAAGACCAATAGGCGTGGATTTTATAAAGAAATTTCTTAAGACCAATAGGCGTGGATTTTATAAAGAAATTTCTTAA